CTTCGAGACCCGAAAAATAAAAGATAATAATTTGTTCGCCTTTCTGTGTATGTGATCATAGTGTAGTCTAAATGAAAGTGTGGAATCAAATATGACGCCCAAATCTTTTACAGAGAAAACTCGTGTTAAGGGAGATGACCCGATCTCATAAGTATACTCAATCGGAAACCTCTTTTTAGTGAAAGTTATTATTTGACACTTCTCGGTATTTAGAGACATCTGATTCAACTGGCACCACTCACATAGAATGTCAATATCTTCCTGTAGCTTTATACAGTCCTCTACGCTCACAATGTCTCTAAAAATCTTAATATCGTCAGCATAAGCAAGACATAAGCTGTGAAACCTATCCAGTAGGTCGTTAATGAAAATCAAAAATAAAAGCGGGCCAAGATTAGAGCCCTGGGGCACCCCTGATACCGGAATGAATGGCTCAGAGTTATAGCCATTTAAAGCCACTAGTTGTGAACGGTTAAGAAGGTACGAAACTAGCCAACGCAGAAGACTACCGTGAATGCCTAGATGATGAGCCTTAACTATAAGAATAGAATGATTTACACGGTCAAAAGCCTTTGAAAAGTCAGTATATACTGCGTCTATCTGATTACCTCGACCAAAAGCATCACAAATGTGAGAAGTGTAGACCAGTCAGTTCGTATGCGTTGATCTTCCCGTCACAAAACCATGCTGATTTTGGTTAAGTAAAGGACTTAAATGTTTGTAAACTTGTTCATACACAAAACTTTCGAATAATTTAGTAAAACAGTTCAAAATACAGATAGGGCGATAATTAGTGATATCTTTTTTGTCACCAGATTTGTGGATAGGAGTTACTTTAGCTACCTTCCACAAATACGGAAATACACCATTACTTAGTGATTTGTTGTATATTTTAGTTAAGGGACCAACCAATGCAGAGGAACACAGACGTATGAAAATTGGTGGAATACCGTCAGGACCCGCTCCTTTAGTAGTATCTATATTTTTTAATTTTTTAAGCACATCATCCTCTGTAATTTTAAAATTAGTTATTGAGTAACTCGACGAAGGGAAGTCTGTTGCATACACGCCTGATGTATTGCTATCGTAAACCGATGAAAAGTATTCAGCAAAGAGATCAACAACATCATGACCAGTAGTAGCAACACGGTCATTGAGGAACAGACTACTTGGTATATCATTGGTTATGCGTTTGGTTTTAGTGTAGCGCCAAAATGATTTTAGATTTATTACCAATTCCGTTTCAATATCTGTTATGAAGGTCTTGAAACACCGGTCCATTAGTAGTTTCGATCGTAATCTAAGAGCGGTAAAAGTATCCCAGTCTCGTGGATTGCCAAACAACTTAAAACGTGCGTGAAATTTAGATTTTGATCTTAAACACTTTCTCAGACCAACAGAAAACCATACAGGGTAGTACGAACTTCTAATTTTAGCTTTGGGGGTATACTTTCCTATGATAGAACGCAGCGTGTTATAGAAAAAAACCACAAGATCATCACAACTAAGAGTTGCTGCATGTCGATCCCAGTCTATTCTGCTCAACTCCGTTATACAGCCAGCGTAATCGGTTTTATGGAAGCAAAAACGTTCAACAGCTCTATTAATACCTAAAGATGGAAGTAGTCCTCGAAAATCCAGTTCAAAAGGCGGATTATGGGCATCCAATCGACTTATGGGTAAGGATTTTGCCAGCTTAAACAAATCTGGATGAGTGGTAATAGCTAAATCCAATATGACATCATTATGATTTAAAACGTGGTTTAATTGATATATGTTTGTATAACTAAACAGGTCATGTAGTGCCTCCGATTTATCACAGTTATGATTTAAGGGAGTACCTGACTTAATAGACCAATTTATATCTCGTAAATTAAAATCTCCCAAAATACAATTTATGCTATTAATCTGAGTGTTCAAAACATTCTTACAATTTACTATAAATGTTGTGAAATCTGCTGAGGGCAGATAATCAGGGAGATACACAATACAAATATTTATGGTAGTTGTTGGACCAATTTTTAAGTGAACCCACAAATCCTCAACAATATCTGAATGCCATTCAGTCTTAACGACAAAATCAATATCTTTTTTTATAGCAATGAGTACTCCGCCACCATGATGCTTATTAAAACGTTTCATAAAGTTGCCATCGCGATCCCTACGCACCACAATGTATCTTTCATCAAATAATTCAGAAGATAGTACCGTTTCATTAAGCCACGTCTCGCATAAACAAATAATATTGTAATTATTACATAGAACCGAGTTGTATACATCCAAAGTTTTACTTTTTAGACCTCTTACGTTTTGATAGTAAATGGAAAGAGCCATTGTTATATTTTTGAACATCCAGACAACATTCATAATGTAATTTTAGAGAGAAAAAAAAATAAAAACTTTAATTAACGTAAAAGGTCCAAACTGTCAATGCTCTTTATCAGAATGTATGACGAATCCGGGTTTTTTCGTGCATAGATACGACCATTTCGAACCCAAACAAACTGGTAGTTTTGTTCTTTGACTTTCTTCCTCGCAGCCATATGCAGAATCTTATTGCTAGGCGATAGATGCTCCGATACATAGACTGGTCTTTTGTCGCCTGCCATTCCTAAGTGTGCAGTGTTCAGCTTGTCAGTGGGATTGGTTTTATTATACCGATATACAGCAGAATAAAAAGCATCACGACTTTTGATGTCATTAAACTTAACAATAATAGTACGCGGACTTTTGTTGTCTTTATTTTGTTTTGCAACTCTAGTACAGTGAGCAATTTCCTTCTCCACTAATTTATATCCAACCACCCTAGCACACTGCTCCATCAAGTTTAAAAGATTTTCGCTGCGATGTTCAGATACGCCATGTAACTCCAAATTATTCTCCCTCAAGTTCTGTTCAATGTTATTAAGACGCGACGATAAATCTGTTACTGTTGATCTTAATAGGTTATTATCATTTTTCAACTTTGCACATTCTGATTGTAAACTCTCTGTCGTAGCCGTCATTTCCTCATATGCTGTATTATAAAATGCCATTGAAGTACGAAAATGTACTAAATAATTTTAAGAAACTACACCTATACTTGTTTTCAGAAAATATGTCCAGAAAATCCAGACTTTGCAGTACTTCGGTTTCATGCAGGGCCACCTTATGAAGACATTGCATTCAAAATAGTGAATCGCGAATGGGAGTATTCTTACAAACGCGGCTTCCGCTGCCATTTCCACAACAACATCTTCCAGCTCTGGTTCCACTTCAAGAGATACCGCTATCGCCGGTAGTTTAATTCTGAGGCTGAACACTACTATCAAATATTCTACAATATTTGCTAAGTTCAAGGTTTTTAGCTTTTTGAGTTTTACAAGTTAGTAGATTGCATTGTTAACCTATTGTAATTACGATTTCGCAATAAAAACAATACTTAAAAATTGAAGTGACAATTTTCTGGATAAAAGTTTCTCAATAGTATGTTTGCTTGTTTTTGAAATGACTTTGAAGCAAAAAATAATATTACACAGTACAACTATTTATTCTCTTGGAAATCTTTGCGTTTCGGCTGTCATGGATTTTGTCAAAACTGGATGCGCTCAATTGACTTGGAAGTACATACATAGGCTATTATTTTGGTTATGTTTTTGAAGGTTAGATAATATATATTGAAAATTAGTTATAAATGTAGAGCTATTTATTACTGTCAGTCTTAAAATTTACTATTTAGACTAGTTTCATTTTATTTTAGAAGAGGAGTTGTTGAAATCACAGGCACAACAGATAATTTACAGCAATTGTAAAAAAGACAATAGTGGTAACTTTTTATTTATTTATTTGTTTATTTGCAAACTTTACAGCTTTTTAATTTTCGTTTACAATCATAATAATATACGTATATAGCCAATAACAAAGTTTGTCATATTACTGTCATATTACTTTATTACTAACTTGTAAAGCAGAAAGTGATAATTCCATAATGGTGGACAGACACACTGAAGCACAGCCATATCAAATGAAAAAAATAGCTTCCAATTCTGACTGAATTGATACGATTAGTTAATAACTTTTAATTACATAAAATAACACAATTTCAATATTGTATGGAGTAAATGTTATTATAAAAAGGAAAATTTTTTTTCATCTCTATATAGTTCATTTGGAAATCTAAACAAAATAACAATAAAATGTGTAGTTTTGAATTCAAGTTGTTATAGATGATAAATGTATTAATTTACTTTAATTGAAAATTTGTATTTGGGTGCATTTGGAAATCCAAAGATGGCCGAGTGATGTTAAGAAAGTACTGTACACGTGTACATTTCATTTTCAATTGTGTGCAGGGGATATCCTTTTTAGGCATTATTATCAATAGTTGAGTCATGTATTATTGTGGAATAAATAAATGATGAATAAATTCAGATTTTTGTTTAATATTTTTAAATTGCTGTGGTTTGGACCACAAACTGTAAACTACTAAACAAGGCAACTATGAAATAAAACTTTAATTCACAATATAAGTAAACTACAAGTTATACAGACTACTGCTTTTTTTGGGTAGGCTGTTTAGGGTCCTCCGGTAGATGGGTGACTTCTTCAGTGGCGGGGTGTGAGTGGAAGTTGGGGAACTGTTCCCAAGGTGCACTGAGTTCAAAGCGCCTGAACTCTTGTGCCAATTCCAGTGGTTCCACAACCACACGTTTCTGCTCATCATCATAGCGCACCTCTACATAGCCACTCAGTGGAAAGTCCTTTCTGAATGGGTGTCCTTCGAAACCATAATCAGTCAGAATCCTCCTCAAGTCTGGGTGGTTCGCAAAGAACACTCCATACATATCCCAGATCTCTCTTTCGTACCAGTTAGCTGCTTTGAAGACTTCACACGCTGATTCAACGGGAGTCAACTCATCAGTGTACGTTTTCACTCTAATCCTAGAATTGTACCTAAGAGATAGCAAATTGTATATAATCTCGAACCTGTAGGGACGCGTGGGTACGTCCATCCCTGCGATGTCCACTAGATTCGTAAATTGAGCCGCGTGGTGGTCTTTCAAAAATGATAGTACGGGAATGACACCCTCTGGAGGAATGAGCACCTCCAATTCATTACCCGCTGTGAGTTGCACTTTTTGAACGTATCTGGGTAAACATTCCGCAATATATCTGCCGAAATCGACCAGCTGAGATTTTTGCAGAGGATCTAGTTTGGCGACGGTGGGCCGAGTCTCTATTTCAGGGGTTGCAGCCTGATCTGTTTTTGCCGCCACCAACTGAATGCTTGCTGGCTTCACGTTATGCAAAACAACGCGTCCAAGGTTGTAACTTGCACCAATGGTGCGTTTTAAGAAGAACGACATCGCAAAACAATGAGTTCACACTTACGTAATTCTGTTCGTAAACAGAACAGAAAAGTACAAATTTTGAAAGTAAGTTGTCAATGTCACTTTGACTATATCTTCGTTCCGCACAGAACAGGCAAAGGTCAGAGACCATACTGCCTAGTCATTAGTTTCTCTTTTTCTTCAGTAAAATGACCAAAAAAGTTATAAGGAAAAAAGAATCATTTTGATGCATATAAAATGTAGAATGTATGTACTCGTATTTTTATGACATTAACACGAAAAAAAACTTGTTCCAAAAGATTATTCAATGTTTTGATGTCTTTGACAGAACTGTTTACATCGTTTACATAGAACTGTCGTTCCTTTCCATTGTTTTCCGTGAATAAGTTTACCCGTTTTGCAGTGGCATAAACGCAAACCGCTAAGTGCCAGAAACAAAACAAAACAAATAACATTTTATTTTACGAAAAATCTTTTGAAAGGCAAACTCGTTTTTGCACCCACTATGCTCCGCGCAGGTATGAAACTGCTCACACACTAACCTGCGGACTGCAATGCAGGATAGTGAATACCTACTTTTACCCATTTCTGCAGTCAAGCAGTAGTGTGAGCATAGCTGCGTTCCAATTTGGAAGGATAAGGGTGCTGGTGTAATTACAGGCACATGGGATTTGTCAACTTACGTCTCAGGGTGGCGAGCGCTGTGGCAGTGCCCCTCATCTTTGCACTTTAAAGTTCTGAGTGGCCCTGCTACTACTACGGGCTGGCGCGGCGCGCGGCGTGTCGCTTCCCACCAGACACACGACGTTTTCGTCCCGTCATTCGGTATCATAAAAAAAAACCGCTTTGCCGTCAGCCGCGCAATGCAGGATTATGAATGTAGTCGCAGCGTGCAAGCCATCCTGCAATCCTGCAATGCTTCATGCAAGACTCCATACGTGGGCCATATGCAGAATAGTGTGTGATCAGTCTCCTGCCTGCGCGGCGGTATGGGTCAAAGAATAGAGTAATACTGGAATAAAATTATTTTATATAGTGGGCCGTTTTAGTCACAGATATATATCTTATGTCTGTCTTTCTAATTTGTGGTTTTAGTCAAAACACTTTGAATGTAAGTGGCTGAATCTCTCATCACAAAAAGCCAAGAAAGAAATCTTTTTTCCTGGCTTTTTGCAGTTCAGCCACTTACTAGTTTTTAAAACTTTGTTGTGTTGTCTGTCTGTCGCTCCAGAACTCTACTCAATACTCAAGTCAGCACTTGAACAGACTTGAGTATGATTTCAAGCTCTGGAAATACGACCCTAATGGCAAGGACTCGAGTATGATTTTCATTGCTTTAAATCATACTCAAGTCAGGACTGGTCAGGACATACGTATGATTTCAAGCGCTGGAAATATGATCCTAATGGCAAGGACTTAAGTATGATTTCTAGTGCTTTAAATCATACACAAGTCCGGACTTGAGCATAGAGTAGAGTTCTGGAATACGACCCCTAGAGGATGAAAAAAAATAAAAGAAAGGAGCTGCCTTAACTACGGAATGAACGTGCATACCTAAACAAAAATTGAACCAACAAATGGCGGATTTCTTTAGTGTCGTACCCTAGTCGTACCATAATCTATCGATAAGTCATTATCGACATGCAGACGTTTAATTAAAGTAGATCAATATTCCATTTGGGAATATTTTAGGTTATTATAGGAATATCCGGGAATGTCACATGAAATTTTGAATTTATTGTTTTGCGTTTACAAATAATCAAATATTACGAAAAGAGAAATATTACGAGTAAATTGCACAGAAAAAAAACAGTGTTTGTAATTTGAGAGTATATAGAAAAGAGAAACGTTTGAAATATAAATCCTATACATGTCCAACCTCAAGATTCATAGTTTCATAGAGAAATTTTCAACATATTCCAAATAGTGAAACCTATTTTGTATTTATGCATTGGTATAGAATTAATATCAGTGACTGATTTAAGTGAATCTTTAATACTACCATTTAATTTTGGAAATACAATGATAGTAGTAATATTATCAATAATAATATTATTATCATACGTTTATTTGCTTAAGACATGGTATAACAGGAGATGTAACAAGAGGCAGTGTTAGTATAAACATGTTTCGCATATATTAAATAGCATGCAAATGTCTGATTATACAATGTCAATTAACTACTATTGGCCGTGCGCCTTTGATTTGTGGAGAAAAATCGACACTTCTCCGAAGTGAGACAAGTAGTCACGAGCAACTGCGAGTTGTGACAAGCCACGTCAAACGAACTCTATACACGTTAGCGCTCGCCTTCACTCGGTCAGTTAAGCGAGTGACACCGAACGATTCCAAGGCAAGGCAAATAGGCTGTCTATACGTTAGTATTGGCTTTCACCCGGCAACGTTAGACCAACATGGTCTTTCTATTGTTGGCTTCATAAAATAAGAATTTTTAGTAGTTAGAGTTGGCAGTGGGAAAAAATCGGAAACGAGTGGATAATTTTGTTTTCAGGAACTGAGAATGCCTAGTAAATGAGTCGTGTTTAATCTAAATTCAATATAAAATTATTTACCAATAAACCTAATTGGAATAAAAATAATATGGAATTGCATTATCATGTAATATAGTTACATTCAAAATTTTTCCCGACATTTGGAAAAAAGCCATAGTTAAACCGATACCAAAAGTTAATGATCCAGCTGAACTTAAAGATCTCCGTCCCGTTAGCATCTTACCTTACATGTCGAAAATCATTGAAAATGTTGTAGCTAAACAAATGATAGAGTTCCTCGAAGCGAATAATATACTTCCTGAGAAACAGTCTGGCTTTAGAGCTGGCCGTAGTACGGCAACAGCGCTGTTGGACGTTGTCGACGACATTTTGGCAGGACAAGATGTAGGCAAGGGTACAATCCTCGTTCTCCTTGATTTTTCCCGTGCTTTCGACACAATTAACACAAACCTCCTCGTCTCGAAACTGGCATATTACGGCTTCGACAGTACTGCTTTGAAATGGTTTGCTAGTTACCTGGATGGTCGTTCACAGAGAGTTGAAGTTAGCTTCGACGATGGTTCGAGAGGTGTATCGAATTCTTCTCCTGTTAACAGGGGAATTCCACAGGGGTCGATCTTAGGGCCGATCCTCTTTATCCTGTACAGTGCAGATGTCTGTAACTCGATAGAAAATTGTAGATACCATTTATATGCCGATGATCTCCAGCTGTATATTACTTTCAAGACATATGACACTGCTACGGCTTTTAATAAACTCAATGCAGATTTGGAGCGAATTCGAAACTGGGCTGTCCGTAATTGTCTAGTTTTAAACCCAGACAAGTCGAAATTCATGGTGCTGGGCACGAAAAGTCAAAAACAACAAATCAATAATCACGATCTAAAAATTAGACTACATAGTTCAGAAGGTAACAGAAGCGCGTAACTTGGGGGTTATAATGGATAGTGATTTAAGGTTTGAGAAACATGTCACGGATATTGTGAGTAATTGCTTTTATAGATTGAGGGTCTTATATCGTGTTCGTCAATATCTTAGCGTAGATGTGCGAATCCATCTGTGTGAGGCTCTGATTCTGTCAAAACTTAATTACGCCGACACTGTAATTGGTGACCGCTTGTTGGCTAGGACTAAGACCCTTATACAACGAGTCCAGAATGCGTGTGCCCGCTACTGTTTTGTGATCCCTCCTCGATGCCATATCACGCCCTATCTCAATCGTAGTAACCTAATGAACATGAAATCTCGTCGTGCACTTCATTTTGGTTGCCTTCTTTTCGGAATAATAAAAACACAAAATCCCTCGTATCTTTCTGACAAACTTAAGTTTTCACAACGCCATATAAGAACGGCTTCTCGTTTAGTTTGCCCTAGATACAACACTTCTGCATTTCGTGGCAGTTTCCGTTATGCTGCCACGAAATGCTGGAACAATATACCCCCTCCAATCAGGAACTCTAATAATGTTTATTCTTTTAAAAAAAACTAAGTATAGATTTTATTTAACAGAATTGCAAAAAAACACATAAGAAATATTAGATGTATCATTTGTGTATAAGTGGATTTTGTATGTATATGTGGCCTAATTCGGTTATACTTTTTGGAATCTTTATAGTTAGGAAATAAGTAGTTTTTCTTTTCTTTTCTTTTTTTTTACATATAATTAAGTTTGTTTGATAGTTGAATGGTGTTTGCATACATAACATAATATTATCAATTAATTATAAATAAATTATAAATAAATTAACAATAGGTATAGATATAGTTAAGCATCACACATTTTGTCGCATCATAAATTCATTGTACGCATATTGCGAATTTAAATAAGTCAATGTTTTTGTAGTATTAGTTTAGTGCGCCTGTGACGCACTCCCTGGGCTCCGCATAATACCAGCGACGTGGCTGTTCTCAGCCACGGCACATGCTGAGCGGTGCCCATTCAGTATCAGTAATTTTAGTTTTAATTTATTTTTATGTATACATACAATTTAAGGATACTGAATAAATGTTTCTTTCTTTCTTTCAAAGTCATGTTAAAATTTGACTCTTTAAAATGAAGCGAATAAATGAAGAAGGTCTTTGATTCAATGTATGATTTCCAACCATTCTATTTTCTTTTTTGATTTGTAGGTAAACTTGAAATAGTAGTAAAATAAAACTAATAAAAACCTCGTAGTGAATTATTTTACTAATAGAATATCGATATTATGTACGCTTCCAAGAACAACACTAACTCAAAATAATCGTTAACAACAATCATCAAAATATACAAACAAACAGGCAATCTGAAGAAACCAAAGCAAAATTTGGCAAGATTTATGAATTAACTGCTTAAATATGTCTAATTACATAAGATATTTGGGCTTTTGAGTGATTTATAGACAGAAAAATAACACGTGCCTGCACAATGTTATATTCGGTCGATCTTCGCTTTTTCAAATGCCACATCCCGTAACGCTGCAGCGACGAATTTGTATTAGTACTTAATTGTTCTCACTGTCAATATTTTTGTCCATTTTACTACAATACTTGCGAATAATTCAATAAAACACTTGGAATAACATTTGTTTTGACATTTGATATACCTCCCTTTGACAACCGTATCATGTACTGCGAAATGGACACAGTTGGCATTTAAAGATAAAGTTACGTATTTTCGATTCCCGTGTTTGACACAGACAAATGTAATATCTCTATCTATCTCTTTTGGCTTAAGACGGCACGCAATAGTTAAACAAAGACAATAACATGTTTATGTTTTCGACGTCGAAATGCATCATATACATATAACGTCTGATTTATATATGTCAACATAACATGTCCTATACTATAGTCTCTGTCGTCTCAAAGAGAATGCTGTCGTCTGTCCACTGTTTGACAAAGAGGAGACCACGCGTGGAAAAATGGGCATTTTGAAATAGCAAAGTTTTTTCCTAACAGGTATTAGTATTCCTGTTACTACCACAAATGTTACTTTAAGTAGGTAATAATATTATTTTCTTATTCCTATATTATTCAGGAATCTATTTATTAGGACTAAACTCAAATAATTATATTTATTTACGACAAAGTGGTTATAAAACAAGCTTTGGCAAAGTTTCGTCACCTTGTAGATTTTCATTGTTACATTAAAGCCGTTGAATTTAGGCTAATCAATTGTCTCAAAGAATCGTGTAAGGTATAATTGCCCTAAGTAATTTATGATGATATGTAACTTTTTTGTGGGTAGGTAGGTTCGTAAAAGAAGTTTCTTGTTTACCCTGCATAAGGGCTATTGTAAACTTAACTAGTGAAGTGGCTTTCGTGCAAGTGCAGTGAACCATGAAGCAAGCTGATTTTAATACCATATGTATGAATTTATCAGTTACTTGTTTATCATACTGTTAAAGTACTAACACACCAATAAAACAGTATAGATACTAGATCTCGATGCCTTATTGTCATACCCAATTATTGTACTGAATGTTGTGTTTGTTTTGAGGAAGTATAGACCGGTTTCATATATTATATCAAATACCTGTACAAATATTTCATAATTTTGATGAATTCATGTGCAACTGTATTCATTAATCATATTTCAAAATGCATTGTGTGTTAATATTATGTTATAATTTTATTTTTGACTTTATTAAGCAAATATGGAAGATTCAAAAGAGTTAAAGGAGCTGAAGTCAACACTGCGGTCCCTGGTAGTGTCCAGCCCCACTGAAATGGACTTGCGCTCATTGCTCCGTGACTATCGCAACATGATGGGCCAGGCCCTGCCTGTATCTAAGTTTGGATATAGGGATCCCCTGCAGTTTCTGAAGGAGCACTGTTCTGACTGCTTTTTGGTATGGCATAAATCACTGAATTATTTTTTTAGCCCCATGGTCCAATTCTCACACCCTTATTTTTATTATTTTGCTACTTTATACACAAAATATGACAAAATTAGAATAGAATTCCCACAGGATACAAATGTACATTATTTTTTTATAATACCAAGTGACTGGACAAATGAGTCATGTGGCTGGTGCTGAGTGACATGCCTGTTCAAAACAGTGGTAGTGCCAATCAGAGCTTTAAATTGCAAAGCTCTTAGGAGCGCTGCCACTGTGCCCGTCACCATGAGACATAAGTTGACCAGTCCCATGTGCTTGTAATTTCACTAGCACCCTTCCAAACCGGAACACATTAACTACTCACATTATTACTTGGTGGCAGAAATAGATAAGGTACAGTACTTCTCTGAATGAACTCCTTCACAAGGAACTCTCTGGTACTAATAAAATATCATTAAATATTTATTGCAGTTGAAGAAGTAATAATAATGTGTGTAAAACAGTTTCAGGGGCAGCCATCCAATCCCCAGCTGATTCTGATTGTGACAGATAATATTAGACATATCGATGAGTTCGTGCGCAAACAAAAAATGTCATCTATTCACAAAATGTAAGTCTCTTTGTTGTTGAAATTTTTAAATTTTTTCAGTTATTATTTGATTGTAGATTCGCAGTTATCGCTGTAGACTTCATAACACAGTCTTCAAGTTGATAGTCTCCAGTGCTGTTTTGTTTTAACATTTTTAGCATTGATTCACTCTTGTAGCCAGTTGGTAAGTCTGTTTTTCAAGGCATTAACGGACACTAAAATCATCGTCTTCCGCTAGCATTTTCAAGTTATGAACAACTGTGCTGAAGAAGTTATTAGCAGTAAGTGTTTAGGTAGGAGCATAAACTAATTTTAGCTGGTAGTCACCAGACCATGTGATAGTTTGAAATTTTAAATTTTTTTAAGATATATGTCAGGTAGGATGAACTGGTATGTCAGGATTTTATGATATATCTCGATGAAATCACCATAAAGACGTTATTTCCACCATAGTGGGCTGTGTTGTTTTTGGTTACTTTTTTCTGGGCGCTTACCACTTACTTGTCATGATATTGTTTCTACACAGCAAAGGAAAAAGAAGAAGTGTACCAGAGTCAACAGTAAACACTACCAATATGATTGTACAAACTTTTGTACCTAAATCAAAACGTGTATCATCCTCGGTTGAAGTTGCAAAGTCAATTGACAAGAAGCCATCAGAAGTGCAATGCACACCAAAACCACCTGTAAATAATACTAAAGTTTATGATGAATATCAATCAAAACATAGCAATCAAAGGCCAAAACAACATGAAGAGGTGACAAACAGTTTAGCATATGATAACTTTGTAAAAAGAAGACTTCCAATATTGGACACCACATTGTGTTGGGAAGAAGAGAAATCATGCAGAGATGACGAATCACAGAGGCAGATATCAGATTATGGAGCTGGTTCATCATGTAAGTGTTTTTAGGTGTAATAATTTTCGAGTTCTTAGGTTTTCGCGATTGTTACACATAGGAAATTAAACTATTTTTCCGGATTGAAATCGCGTATATTTGTTTTTTCAAACAAACCGTCGTTTCGGGCCCTTTACAGGTCTCATGATCACGGTTGACTGAGGTGGTACAGTCATCAACCAGTTATGTCTAATATTGATGCAAACCACCATATTTTTTCACTATACAATAGTTATTATACTATAATAGTTATTTAACTGCCTCCGTGGCCGAACGGTTACCATGTAATCATTTTGTAAATTTCTTTTTATTTTTATTTATTTGGAGTTATCATCAGAGATTGGAATAGACTAATACACTGCATAGAGTGGATAATACACCCATTTGAAATCATGTAATAGATGTATCTATTGTATTTTGGAATGTAACGAGCAACTACTCTGTAGTGGTTTGTAATTTAAGCTAAATTTTTTGTATAAAATTAACTATATATATATAATTAAATTTTTATTGAATTGATATTCAATTATTTTTTGTGAAATTACTCCACTAGTTTGTTATAATTATTAATACAAATATCGAACACTCAGAAAAAACACTCAGAAAAAATTCCTTCGTTTTCGGCTTTTCAGAGGGAGGTAGTGTCCGCTCTAGGTGCGTTAATTGAAATTTTGGTAAATATTTTCTGTGTATTTGTTGAAGTTTCGGATCGTAGGTATTCATACACTTTTTATGAAATAATGTGACCCGTTCATTACTTCAGCACAGAGTCATCCCTCGTCGAGCGGCAGCAGCAGCAAACAGGCGCAACTCGAGGAGCTCAAGGCGGAGGTGAAGGAGTTAATCGCCGACAGCCCCGATGGCGTGTGGTGCAGCGATCTCATGAAGCTGTACAGGTGAAGCGTTGTTCATTGATGCAATGTGAGATAACGGACGGAGCGTCGAGGATGCGGTTTGAGAATCGGTTTGACACCGCGAACGGTCGTCCACAGGAAGCGTCACGGGCGGGAGCTGGAGTTCTCGCGGTTCGGGTTCACCACCATCGTGGGGCTGGCGGCGCAGCTGGACGCCGACGTCGACATGCTGCGCGCGGGCGACGCCGGCGCGCTGCTGCTGCGTCTGCGCAGGCTGGCCGCGGCGCCGCCCGTGCGCTCGAGCCGCCGCCGCAGCGCGCCGCCGCCGCAGCCGCCGCGCGCGCTCGACCTCGACGACGCGCTGCCCGGGATCGACTTCGTGAGTGTCCCCGTCGCGGCCACCCCGCCGCCCCCGCCGCCCCGCTCACGCGGCCTCTCGCGCAGGACCCGGACGTGTTCCCGGCGGACTGCATGCAGTACTCGGACAGCATTCCGCCCGCGTCGCTGGAGGGGCTGGAGCCGGGCGTCATGGTGGAGGTGATGGTGGGCGAGGTGTACTCGCCGTCGCACTTCTGGCTGCTGCGGCTGGGCGACGACTACCACATCGCCATGGAGGAGCTCATGGACGAGATGACGTGAGTGCGGGCGGGCCGCGAGGCGCGTCGTCGCCGGCGCTCTGACGGCGTTCGTTCGCAGCGAGTACTACTCGGCGGGCGAGGGCCGCGACCGCGTGCTGGCCGTGGGCGCCGTGCGCGAGGGCCACTACTGCAGCAGCCTGTACGACCGCGACTGGCACCGCTCCATCGTCGTGAAGGTGGTGGACAGCGACACCGTGAAGGTGCGCCACGTGGACTACGGCACCGTGGAGGCGGCGGCGGCGAGCGCGCTCAAGCCGCTGCCGCGGCGCTGGGCGCGGCTGCCGGCGCAGGCGATGCGCGCGCGCCTGGCCGGCGTGCGGCCCGCCGCCAAGGGCCGCCGCTGGCCGCACGCCGCCTGCGTGCACTTCCTGCGCCTGGTGCAGGACCGGCCGCTCGTGGCCGACGTCGTCGCCGTGGACCACGAGGTGCGCCCCGCCCGCCGCCCCCCCGCCCCCCCGCCCCCCCGCCCGCTCACGCCCCCCCCCCGCAGGAGCGCGTCCTGGAGGTGTGCCTGGTGGACACGTCGACGGAGCGCGACGTGCGCCTGGACCGGGAGCTGGTCCGCGCCGGCCACGCCGACTCGCGGCCCGACAGCGCGCTGGCGGTGAGTGTTGCCGCGCCGCCCGCCGCCGAGGCCTCGGACGCCGACTCGGACGAGGTGGACTCGCTGCTGGCCGTGGTGCTGCACTGCGACGGCCGCAGCGAGGTGTCGGCGTCCGCCTCCGAGGCGGGGCGCGCGCCGGCGCCGCGCATCGCGCCGTGGGGCTGCGACGTGGCCGACGTCGCCGTCGCCGACGCCGCCGCCGCCGGCTCGCTGCGGCTGGCGCGCCTGCGGGCGCTGCACGCCGAGGCGACGCGCCCCGCCGCCCTCTCCCGGCTGCTGCGCAGACGCCTGGCCGCCGCGAAGGCCACCTGACCGAAGCGGGTGCACCTCTCGACGAAACGCCTATTGTCGACGCTTTTCTTCGTCCGTCGTTCGCCTCGCGACTTCGCCGTTTATTCCGCTGCCGAGCTGCGAGTTTTCGGGTTGACGACTTTTTTCAAATAAAACGTTTTTTTTTAAATAAAAAAGCCTTTCGCGACCTCCTTCCTTTTTTTGCAAAGTTTCGCTTTGCAGCGCCCACGGTCTGTCCTCCGCGCGGGAACAACACATTTGACAGACTTCACTGTAACCGCACGTCGTATCTCCGGTAGGACCGCATTGCGGGGCTAGGCCGAGCACCCGGGACGGTCCGACGCGGCGTCGCGGTCGGAGTCGTAGAAGCGGCAGGCCAGCCGCGGCCGTCGAACCGCGGCATACGGCCTCCGGCGGCCGGCCCTCGCGTGACGGCTCCCCGCGTGTGTTGCAGGCGTCCGAGAGTTACCTGTACCCGCGGTTCGACGCGCTGGAGAACGGCGCCACGCCCAACTTCGCCGACATCCACGCCTACCTGCGCGACGGCATCGAGCTCGACTTCGTCGAGGACTTTCGCCGCCACGTGCCCTGCCGCCTATCGCCCCTGGCGCCCCCCGCGCCCCCCGCCGCTCCCCCGCCGAGCGCGTTGGCGGCGGCGACGTCGCCCTCCGCGTCGCTCGTGAAGCTGATAAATCGCGTGCCCCTCCTCCCGCTGCACTCGTCGCCCTCGCCTCCGCCTTCGCCGGCGCCGCCCTCGGAGGAGGCCGAGTCCGAAGTCGCTTCCCCCGAGCGCGGGACCGCCCCGCCCCGTTCGCCTCGGGCCGCGATCTTGCCCGCGGAAACCCTCCCGGCGCCCGTCAAGCCGCACCCCTTCCCGTTGGCGCCGCCGGTCGCGAGAAGGATGCTGCCCGTTTCCCCGCAGCCGGCTCTGGTGCGAGCGATACCGTTGTACAACGTGTTTCCCCCGCCGCAGCTGTTCCACCCCGTGGCGCCGTTCGCGCCCGTGCCGCACGTGTTCGCGTCGCCGTTGCCCCCGCTGCAGTTCCCGTTCCCGCCCCGCGCCTGTCCGTCGCCCCCGCCGCCGTACAGCGGGGCGCCGGCGCCGCGGCCGCCCGAGCCGCGCCGCTTCCCCGCGGCCAGCGGCGCGGTCGTGCTGTCGGCGTCCGAGTGCGAGATATACTCCCTGCTGAACCGCGTGGACCGCAACGCCGCGCACTGGTACATGGCGGACACCATAAGCCGGCGGCGGTTCGACGCGCCCGCGCGGGTGTCCACGCTGAACCCCGACGCGGCCGAGTTCCGCTCGGCCAGCGTCACTACGCAGACGGAGCCGCGGCCGCCGCCCGGCTTCGAGCTGCCCTGATCTCCGGGCCTTCCGAGCGGCCGACCAACGTTCTTGTGCAAAACTCGCCTCGACTAGTACGAGTAAAGCGCCCGGCGCCCGTTTTGCACTTCCCGTGCCATTCATAAGTAACAATCTATTTTTATACTTAACGTAGGATTAAGGATGGAGGCTAGTGCGTTCCTCGTTAATTAAGCATACTTTTGACGTTGACTTGTCCGGTGGCTCTAGTGCTTATAGTATGACGTGTCCTCTACTTCGTAGTGACTATTTCGCGGTACCGTGTTAACTTGGAATCTCTCTGTACCTGTTGATTATTAAAAAACTTTGATTTCGATCCGCGCAGGCCGCGCCCGATTTTCGGCCGATGATCGTGCTCGCATGACGAAACGCGCGCCGTCCGTGGATACAAACTTTTTGTTGTTCGATATTGTAGCTACGATCACCGGCTAACATCGAGACCGTACAACGGACTTCGTGTATTTTTGTGTTTTGGCTTGTTCACGAATACAAGCTAGGCGTGTACGCTTGTAATTATATGTACGTTCTTGTACTTTTGTAGACTGTTTATTGTTTTTCAATTAGTTTGTAATGCTGAACGGGGTGATTCGAATTGAGTGGCTCGAACTGGCTATGCGATTCGTGACAAGAAGTCCCTTCTGGCTGTCTGTAAGTTTTCTGTTTCTTATGCCGAGGAATTTTTGTCTAAACGAAACATGCCACTGCGCGCGCGGCCGCTCAATTTAGATCGACATTTAATTAATTAGAGACTTTCTAAAAATTATATACTTTCTTACTGTACCTGTGTGATTCAGGAATAAAAAATCACAACAAAGTTATTCAGTTTATTTTATTTCATCCTTACTAGCAACTATAGGCCCATTTCAATTCGAAAAGGTTATGTTGATGCAACTACTGTTCTATTTCGGTAGGAACCACATTTTTCATAGTGAACAATAAGGGTTTACTAGTGGTAGATCGACTAGCAATGCCGGGTAGCACTACTAACATATCTTTGATGCTTCGGAAAGGTCCCAGAACGCTATAAGGGTTTTTGTGACCTCGCAAAAGCATTTGATTGTGTGAACCGTATTACTCATGTTAGGAAGCTGGAATATTACGGAGCAAGTGTCTCGTCATATCTTAACGGTAGAATTAAGAAAGTAAACAGATCACTTACAAATAAGTTAGTGATTTTAGTTTTGTTGTCCCTAAAAATTATTAAGAATTTTTATGAGTCTGAAATGTTTGTGTTAAGTTTAGTTATCTGTCTATATTAGGTACAATTTTAAAGAAATCTTTATTTTAATTTTAAGTGAAACATTGTTGCAAAAATTGCTGTTAATTTTATAATCAAGAGAAATTTTTAGATCAAGAGTAAGAGAATCATAAGAGATCAAAGTATATAATATAGCATTATTATTATTAAACACAAATGATTCTAAATAAACATTAAAATTAATCATTTAGAGTCTATTTTTGTTACTCATAAGAACATTGTTACATTTTGTTAATAAAAAGTTAAAAATGAGTGTTAATTTTCGAAAAATTTTGTTAGTTTCTTAAATGAAGAAGTTAGTAGAGTATTTTAGTTTAAATTTTCCGCATAAGAAACATTGTTAATTTGTTATTTACGCATAAAAAAATTACGTTCAAGTTCACAATCAAGTGACTTAATTTTCTTTTAAGAATTTTTAAAGATGGTGATTAAAGAGTGGTTTGAAACACTTGCTATTTATTTTGTGAAAACAAATTTGTTTCTTGAAAACGTCCTTCTTAGCTCCAACTACTAAGAAGATAAATGCTATGATAGGTTATTATATTTTTTTAAGATTCCAAGCCTAAAAATTTTTAACCAAAGTCCCATTCGTCATAGCCAGTAATATAGCGTCATTACAGTGCAGAAAAAAGTAATTACCGTATCACTATGGTCTTTACCATTTTATCACATAAATTTAAAATTTAATAACTTTGGATCTACTTGGTACATTAAAGTGCCTTTCATATTTTTACAATGATAAATTCATTTATCTTTTCGTTTGCGTTAGTTAGCACGCATTAAACTCAGTTTTCAAAAATGTGAACACAATAATACAAATATTTTAAAAATGCGAATTGACCCGCCACCGTCTCTTCTACTATCGCACCTCCGGCCAAAGGAGTAAAGTCCACCCTCACATCTTATTAGATGCTGTGAGAATAAGAATGGCGGGTTTAACAAATCCACAGATCCATATTTAACAGATCGGGACTTTAACAGATCCTGACAAATTTGTTATCAAAAAAATGTACATACCTAAATTGTATTATTTAGAATAGTACCTCTATTTAAAAATTTTGTACATACCTCCATCAGAACGAAGTTACAGCAATTCAAAGTTACACCCGCCCATTTTCCATCAAAACAAGATAAGATACTGACATATGAAGTGGCTGTATGGTGAAACCTATGCTTACCCAAATAAATGGCGGAAAATTAATTTTTAAAAATTTACGAAAATTACAATTTTGATTTAGCTATAATTTCGTCCCGATAGAGGTATAATTTTTTTAAGAATAGGTACTAAATATTACAATTTATGTACATTTTTTTGGTACTAAATTTGATAGATTTCGTTAAGATGCACGCGACGTCCTGAAATTGCACAATTTTAGCTTTATATCGTTGTATTGGAAATGTTGCTGCTGTAAATCAAAGTTGATTTACAGCATTATTTTACAGCAGCAACATTTCCTAGTGAACCTCATCATATTGTTATATATATGGGGGCTTAGAATAATAACGCATAGAAACCTAGTCCGCACACGCTAAGTGAGGCAAATTGAAGCGCGCCAAAAGGGCCTACACGAGCGGGCGGGCTTTCAGCGCTCAAGGTCAACTTGCACCGCGAACAGATCAAGAATTTAGCTAAAAATGACGAAATGTGCGGTAAATGACTGCAAAAATACGTAAGACAAACATAAAATAGATACTAACATCACATTCCACAAGGAAGTAACGCGTTTCAACTTGTATTTTTATATAAATATTCACTAAAACCGAAAATTAACCTACTACTAAAACTACCCTACATGAATTTGATTTTTGCCTCAGTTGTGACAGGTCGTTTGATATGAAACTATCATTCTATGTGTTATTATTCTAAGTATGGGGGATGTAGAAGCAAAACAGTGTCTGTCCAAAATTACTTTTTAACCGACTTCAAAAAAAGGAGGAGTTTCTCAATTTGACTGTTCTTTTTTTTGTATGTATGTTACACGTTAACTCCGGTATTTGTAAACCAATTTTCATGATTCTTATTTTGTTGGAAAGAGGGTACCTCCATAGTGGTTCCATTTAATTTAGAAGAAAATCATCGACGTCGAAGGGTGGCTGTTCACACACGACGATTCATTTTTATAAATAGCGCCTAAATTTTATTACAAGGAGCAATAATTTTAATGGTTGATTATGCTATTCTCCAATTCAAGGCGTTTTTCTCTCTCAATATACTTTGAGCAGTGAGAACCGATTTTTATTATCTCCTGTGTCAGTCCCGAACAGGGGGATAAATCCGGGTTTGAGCACTTTCGGGTAACCGATTTCAATAAAATTTGGTAATTATATGCAATTCCACGTACTTTTGTGGTCGGTTTTTTTACTGACACTATTTAAACTATGAATGCATATGAATGTCATTTTGTTTTCCGAGAATCGCTCCAAACACGGGAGTAATAGTAAATTTACACTGGTGCCGCCTTACGAATCGGCAGACTATTTTGCCTTTCCGACAGGCGACGCAGTCGACTATCCATTTATACCGAGTCGTTTGCCGCTTATTTCTCCAGTATTACATATAAGTCTAGGAGTGCATTTTGTTGGGTGCCCTTCTATAAATGAAATAACTCTTTTCGTACAATAGTATTTTATTATTAGTTTAAATAAATAACGCCATTTTATTCACGTGTCAATAAAAAGAACAACGTATTTTTCAAAGTGTAAAGGCAGAGACAATTTTATATTCAACTCTCCACCTCGCTTTGATATTACAAAACATTAACAATCAATACCTTAGACTATGGAAACTAAAGGACATGTTGACATATATAAATCAGACGTTATATGTATATGATGCATTTCGACGTCGAAAACATAAACATGTTATTGTCTTTGTTTAACTATTACGTGCCGTTTTAAGCCAAAAGAGATAGCATTACATTGGTCTGTGTCAAACACGGGAATCGAAAATAAGTAAACCGTGTCCATTTCGCAGTACCTACATAGTACTGTTGTCAAAGGGAAGTACATCACATGTCAAAACAAATGTTTTCTAAATGAACTATTGAATTATTCGCATGTATTATAATTAAATTGTACAAAAATATTGACAGTGAGAATAATTAGGTATTAATAAAAATGCGACGCTGCAGCATCAAGGGAATGGCTTTAGAAAAAATGATATCGAATATCAATATGTTTCGATCTCTTACTATTTTCAAAACTTTAAGTAATACAAAAGGCTCTAATATTGTCCATCTTAATATTAGGAATCACATTACATCCGCAATCCATAGAAAGACCTTTTATATTTTGTAACTCACTAGCAGTAGTGGCGGCCGCAATATGCTTCGCCTCGGCGGTTGACAACTAACTGTGCACAATTTTGTTTACGTGAAAACCAAAATATTACCTTATTATTAAACAGCACAACACATCCACTTAGACTTTTCCTAGATAGTCTATCACCTGCCCAGTCAACGTCAGAGTAAGCTTCTAGACTAATAATATTATCACCATTTTTCTCATAACACAGTGGACTGTGTTATGAGAAAATCATGGATGATTTTGAGTATGTTTTAAGTAACGAATACTCTTTTCGCACTTTTTCCATGTACTCTCATTAGGTTTATCCAAAAATTAACTTAGGTAGGATACTGCAAAATTGATATCAGGGCGTGACACAGCCTTGTATATCATTCCCAGTAATCTTATGTCGGCCGCCGCACGGAGATTCCTAAAAAAGTATATTAATTTACGTACTCTTTTGGCGGTAGCAACCAAGTGGTCTCCGAAGGTGAGCCTCTGATCTATAACTACGCCAAGATATTTTACATTTGCGGCCCGACTGATGCTTTGACACTTGCAAGACGCTCGCTTTTCAGGGTTGCAAGAATGAACCGGGATTTCAGGGGAGTACAAAGGAGCAGAGGCACTTGTCTTATGGAAACACAAAAAATGGGTTTTCGTCAAGTTTAGCGTCAAGAGATTGCCACGAAGCCAAGCAGCTATCCGCGACATACCGCACTCGACCAAACTATATACATTGGACCAATTAGGACCACTGAAAATAATGGCGGTATCGTCTGCATAGCAGACGGTGTCAGTGTGGTCCAGAACAGAGACAATATCATTTATGTACACAGTAAAAAGGGTGGCGCCCAGCGCACTCCCTTGAGGCACCCCAAAGTGAATGGGCATGGGATTGCTTAATTGATTTACAATTCTTGTGCTTTGGGAACGACCAGACAGATAGCTATGAAACCAGTCGAGTGCGATGCCACGAATACCAAGAGATTTTAACTTTCGAACAAGAATGGGTATGGACACGGTATCGAAGGCCTTCGCCAAATCGAGAAAAACCCCCATACAGGCCTTCTTGCTGTCCAGGTGATCCGATATATGTTAGTAAGCAAAGAGACCGCATCCTGAGCGGATTTTCCGCGTATAAAGCCCAACTGTCGGTCAGATATTAATTTACTTTTATCTAGAAAATCAACAAGACGCCGTTAACTAGTTTTTCTAGAATCTTGGAGAAGCAACTTAATAGGAAAATTG